ATATATGTCTCTCTCTCTCTCTCTCTCTCGCTATATATATATATATACATATATATATATATATATATATATATACATACATGTATGTGCAAAAAATACGACAGTAAGAGTACAACCAAAGGGAACTAAATAAATAGATATGGCCTGCTTGCAGCCCTGCAACAACGGTTTGGAGTTGGGACAGGCACGATGATCTGCTTGGACAGTCGGCAAATTACTGGAGCTGTTCTATCGATGGATGTTGACCGGGTATGCTCATGGAAAAACGCAGCACTCAAACAACATCTGCAGCTCCCTGATTGCTTGCAGAACTTTGCTGGCTCAAGCCAAGCGGGCAGCATTCCAACATATTAACCTGAGAGCCTAAACCCTAAAGCAACTGAAACAAAGGATCCGGGAAAGACGGGGGCCCCAGCGTACTGGTGGAACAGTCCATTTGCACGAATGGCATTAGAACTCACTACTACTACTACTACTACTACTACTACTACTACTACTACTACTACTACTACTACTACTACTACTACTACTACTACTACTACTACTACTACTACTACTACGGTTGATGATATAAATCCTGCATTACCCATAATAAGGAATATACCATAATTCCCATAGTTTAGGGTCCTTAAGGTCATGCAGGATTTACATCATCAACCGTACTACTACTACTACTACTACTACTACTACTACTACTACTACTACTACTACTACTACGACTACTACTAAGACTACTACTACTACTACTACTACTACTACTACTACTAACTACTACTACTACTACTACTACTACTACTACTACTACTACTACTACTACTACTACTACTACTACTACTACTACTACTCCTACTGTATTAACAATATTCCACTAGTATCAAACAGAAGAAGCATACGATCCTTGCTCTGGGGATCCCAAGGCCCTGTAAGCACTGCACTTTAGACGAGCCTCTAGGGGAACCCTAAACCCTAAACCCTAACCCCAAACCCTAAACCCTAAACGCTTTTTCACTGGGCGGGCCGACACCAAGGGCCCAGTTTGGGAGCCTGGGCGGAAGCTACCCATGGGCTCCATATCCCAATAAGGAACTACTATGGAGCCTCCAGGTAATAATTACCATGGTTAATACGGGTTCAGGATTAGATTTGCTGTGTAGGGCTTCGTGCTGCCACAATGGTGAGCCCTGTATTATGATGGTACAAACTATGGGGCTCTCAAAAAACCAACGGGTCCCTGTCTGGGCGCTCCTGCGATTAAAGATCCTACTATTCAGAGTGCATATTGAAGCTTCCTTGCCAGTATTTTGCTGGTATTCCTGCTTCGACCAATTATAATCAGGAGGATGGCGGGATGGCAACCGTCGTGATAAACACAACTTACCCTGATCACCGTACCAGTTTAAACATGCTAGCAGATATAAATAATCACGACACTGATACATGCACTACACTACTGAATACAAAAGCGGTAAAGTGCCATTCGGCCAGCTTACCGGCAGCCAACTCGCCCCCCGCCACTGTCAACTTCCTTGGCCCTCCTGTGAAATGCCGCGGTTCTCAGATCGTTCTTGGGCAGAAGGGCGGGGCCAAGGACGCCATGGAAGAAGTGCCACTCGATCCGGGAGATTTGTCATAGAGTTCCCGGGCTTTCTGAGAGTCCTGTGATACGCCGAGGCCGTATTGGTACATGCACGCAAGGCTGAGGGCAGCTCCACTACTGCCTCTGACGAAGCCCATCTCGTACAGTTCTTTGGCCTTGCGGTAGTCCTGGGTTTAAGGACTTTTTTGGGGGTGTCGGGCCAGGGTTTACATACTTAAAACACACACATCATTCAAAGTCTTTGGCCTTGCGGAAGTCCTGGACCACTCCGAGGCCATCGCGATACATATGTCCAAGGCTTTCCGGGGACAAAATGTCGCCTCTTGCGATTCCCAGCTCGTACAGTTCTTTGGCCTTGAGCCAGTCTGGGGCTGAACCTCTCCCATACTGGTACATGTTACCAAGCTCATTTGTGGCTCCGATCGAGCCCCTTTCGATGGCCGTCTCATAGAATTTTCTGGCCTTGTGGAAATCTTGGTCCACCCCCAGGCCATCCCTGTACATGTGTCCAAGCTGAGATGCAGCTTCAGCAGAACCCCATAACATGGCCGTCTCAAATAATTCTTTGGCCTTGTGGAAATCCTGGGTCACCCCAGTGCCATGGATGTACATGTTTCCGAGGGTTTCGGCGCAAAAGGTGTCGCCTCTTGCGATGCCCAGCTCGAAAAGTTCTCTGGCCTTCTGCAAGTCTTGGGCGACACCTTGCCCATTCTGGTACATGATACCGAGCCAATTCGCCGCTCTAGAGTCGCCCCTTTCAATGGCCTGCTGATACAGAATTATGGCGTTGTGGAAATCCTGGTCCTCTCCTAGGCTTTGAAGTAACTAGCCAGGGAGATAAAGCAAAGACGTTTATTTCAGAATGGCTCCTTTAAGGAACAGGTCCCAACAAAAAGTAAAGTACAGTACTCCAAAGCATAGTCATAGTCTCCCAAGCCATCGCGGTACAGCCCGGCAAGCATTGCAGCGGCTAGGTCGTCGCCCCTTGCGTAACCAATCTGATACAGATCTCTGGCCTTGTGGTAGTCTTGAATAACACCTGGTGAAGGGGTTTTAGAGTTTTTGGTGGTCTCAGACAACGCAGCACCGTGCACTAGATTCTTCCTGCAAACAGATAATTAACATACTGCAGAGCGGTTCCTAGCAGATGGATTCTAAGTTAAAGAGTCCCCAAATTTAGGAAAACCCCACCTCGCCCCTGCTGGTACATCATGCCAAGGCTGGTTGGGGCCCTTTCGTTGCCTCTCGCCATGCTCCGCTCAAAAAGGCCTCGCGCCTCCTGCAAGTCCTGAGCTACCCCGAGGCCCTCAAAGTACATGACTCCAAGGTTGTTGAGGAAATCAGGACCGTCCGGATCGAGGAGACGCTGTGTCTGGCTGACTGCTTGCGCAAGGTTCTCCTTGGCGCAGTGACCAAAACGCCATGTGGTGGTTTCCCGAAACTTCGATGCGGGCACAGGGGACAGCAGGCGTGCCCTTTCGTACATGACGGAAGTCGCCGCAATCATGTCACCATCTGTCATGCCGGGATGTGTGTAAAGAATGCGCATCTGCAACCCGTCGCGGAAGGCTTGAACGGCCGCTTTCAGCTCGCCTCTGTAAAAGACAGTGTCGAAAAGAATTTTGTAAGACAGCCCTTGCTGTTTGTGATAGTTGATCGCCACGATGACATCTTGGGACCTCGCAGCCCAGGTGCTGGCAAACTGCCGGGATGCGCCCACCCAGAAGGCTTTGACCTGTATGGCCGGTTCAGAAGCACACTGGTGCAGAAAAGGTGTTGCTGGATCTGTTGAGGGTCGTTCCTCAGGACATGTCGGCTTTGCTAAACCCCGAACCCTAAACCCTGAAACTACTTATAGCTGTTACTAAGCGCTGCCCGCCTTCGGCAGGCTGCAGGACTTCAGGGTATTCACACCGGGAGCATTCAAGAGCTGCCCGAGCCGGGTGTCCGGATCCTCCTTGCTGAGCTCACAGCTATTTCGAAACTGCCATGCAAAAACACAGAACAGCTTTCGCACACCGTGCGCGCAGATACTTGACAATAACGAGCGCAGCCTTGTCTCCCGACTCAATTCAAACAGGGCTCCGCTCATTGTTCACGCCCCAGCTGCTAAACATGACTGCGGCGAAGACTATTCCATAATAGGGTGCTATATGGTGCCATTTTGTAACTTTTTCAATCCAAAAGGCTTTGCTCTTGATCCGTCATTTTGGCACGCCACAAACCCTTGAGTCCTACCGTCCTGAGGGACAGGGAGAGCAAGAATTCAGTTCAAACGCTCTAGTAAGATTCTATAGTACACACTGGCTCTTGCACTCGTAAAGTTTCGGATGCGGTGATAGTCTCTATACTCGGAACGAGCGGGCGAGGGAGAGAGAAGAGCGAGCTTCGATACAGCTTAAACGGCAAAAAAAAGTCTCCGAAGCCCCCACCCTCACGCGACCCCGGGACTTTACCCCCGGGAACAAGGCTTCCGTCGCATTCCGGGCCGAATCTTCCCCCAAATTATTACTCTTAGCTATTGATTGGTTCAAGCCCAAAAGCGATGAAACACTGCCTGAAACCCGTCCTGGCTTTGCAAGACGCAGCCGCCCTTTTGTCGCAATGGTCGAAGGACGTCTTCACGCTCTTCATCTTGATACCCACTCCACAACAAGAGGTGCGTCTTCTCCTAGAGTGTTTCATTCCAAGGAGGCAGGAGGAGAGGCTTCGCTCAAAAAGGCCCCTGCTGTGTGATGAAAGGCGACTGAGCGAGGTGCGCTCCCGCAGGTCAGCAAGCTCTGGCTCCAGACCTCGTAATATGAGGAACTTAATACTTAGAACAGGGTTTAGGGTTATATTATATAAGTATGTGATATTATCTAGATAACTAATATGGAACCCCTAAAATAATACATATACATATAGGTAATTATTATAATTATGGCTCCAGACCTCGTAGTCTCCATCGTTGACAACGGCTTCCGCCTGCGAAGGAGTGGGGCCGTGTGGGAAAGGTGTACCAGGACCGCTCAACTACCGTTGTTGTCCTTCATACCCATGGGCTCCATAGTAGTTCCTTGCTGGGATTACCGTATAGGTTTCTATATATGAACTTTTAAAAGGGTAGCTACCGATGCACAGAACAGCGGGTCGCTACGGCCTGAGCCCCAAGTAACCTACCGTTTTAAGGCTTCATATAAGGAAATCATATTCTGGGATCCTAAGAAGGTAGGCTTCTAATGGTCTAGGGGATTCCTATGCAAGTCTCCGAATTTTGATGCTCTCCGACCTCGGCCTGGCAGCCTCCAGCAGAGACTGTCGCACCATTTCGCTGGTCCTGGCTTGCAACATCCCTTTTTTTGCCTCCCGCCTGGCTAGGACGAACCTACGCTCACATCCCTCTAGCCCCATAGACTGCTGCTTTTCTTGGGGGAGGGCGAGGGATTCAGGGCACAAAGGGGCCCTAAGAGGCGTCGGTCCCTTTTTGGGACCCACCAAACTCAGCGTCACTTTCCGGTCCTCTTCGCAACTCTCCTGTATCCCCTTCTTGAGCATTCCAAGCTCTTCTTCGCAACCTCAGACTTGACCCTCAAGTGCCCTCAACGGAACCTTAACTAAAGGAATCCTTCACTAAGAGAACGCGAGCAAAAGATACAAATACCACCTAGACAGCGACAGAGTCTGAGAGAGAAAGCCAGAGACACCCAGGCAAAACCGGAGAGAGAGAGAGAGAGAGAGAGAGTGAGAGAGAGACAGAGAGAGAGAGAGAGCCCCTAAACCCTGAAGCCCCACAGAGAGTGAGGGAGAGAGAGCCGGGGTGGGAGGAAAAGAGACCAAGAACAGAGTACCCTACGAGTGCAACCAGTGCAGTGCCAGGACGCGCAAGGATTCGGAAGCATCACCTGCTTCCAAGAATAGGCTTCGAGACTCCTTCTCTGCGGCGATGCCTGGTCGAACAGCCCACGCAGCAACCCAATATCCAAAATTCCGCACCCCCACCCCTCAAAGCCTGAACCCTATCGAAGCCGTTCAATACTTCCCCCTCCGAACCTTCACGGAGCGAACCCCTGGCAGCGCTGGAAGCTGAAATCGTACCAAAAGTGCCAAGCACGAAGTGACAGGCCGTGACTAAACTATCTAAACGGGTAAGTTTATGTGCTTCTTTGCCGTCTTCAGATCGAAAACTCCTGAAACAGTTAGCTTTCCATTATATCATCTTGGTTATCATTCGGGGTGTCGTTCTTTGTTCCATTGTTTTCTTCACACCTGATTCCAACATCATTTTGCTCTCCGTCTCTTTGTCGTTTCGGGGATGGTGCGGGCCCTGTTCCGCAAAACGATGTGCCAATGATACGTGGGAGTTTCCGAGAATACGGGACCCTAATATAGTCCTCCAAATAATAGGATCCTCATTATAAGAACCCCCCAAATAAGATTCCCCAAATCTCCAGAAACCCCCACATGACAAGCAACAAAGATGATAAGTCGAAGCTTTGCAGAGGCTCTCTTCCGGTCTCTTCACATTCCATGCCTTTTCTCCCGCTCTTCCCGGCCAAGGGGTGAAGAACACGATTAACAAATGATAAGCATGATGAAAGAAATGAAACTGCGATGTTTGAAACGATAATGAAAACGACAATGAAAGTTGCAAATGATGATGCAACGATGATTTGATGATGATCAGAACGCTAGCTAGTCTTTGTCCACTTTACTCTTGCAGGCTATGCTAGTCTGCCCAAGCAAGAATCCTATAATGGTAAGTGTAAGAAGCTGTGCATAAAACATGCTTGGAGTAGTAGCCGCAAACCCTAAACCCCTAAACCCTAAATCAAGGCCCGCTCTGGTTGTGGCCGCGAGCCCAAGCGGAAAACAGCGAAATGGTAGAAACGGGCGGATACATGAAACTACCCATAGGCCCCATAGTAGTTCCTGTTTGGGGTTCATATATTTAGAATCCTAGAAGGTAATCCCCAAAAAAGGAACTGCTATGCGGCCTATGGGTACGGCTATGGTTTTCCGCTCTCACAGTCGGACTCGCCAGATGAGGACTCGGGTCGACGTGCTTTCAACCGATAGAAGGCTTTGGGCTTAAGATGGGTTGTTTCGAAATCTACGGGGTTCCTACTTCAAGGGTCCTCGAAATGAGAATCCGACAGCTTTCGGAGTCTTCTACGCCCCAGTCCAGCTAAACCAGCTGCTCGATTGCACGGCTTTAGAGAAGGGCACGCCAGCACCGTCCATGTCAAGGTGAGCGTGGATGGGATGTGGGGATTTAACCAAAACCCCCAGCAGGTTCCCTGAGAGAGTTTGATGGAGGACCCATGCCGAGGGTTTTTTGGGTTTAGGGTTTATATAAGGTTTAGACGCTCCAACCTTCAATCCAACACACAAGGATCCCTGTACCCCCGTGTCCCTTTCGGAACATCGAACGGTCGCCTCTTCGCCCGAGGATGGTGCGGTCGCCGCTTACCATCTGCAGCGACGTGAAGACCACGAGGAAGAGCATGGTGACCATGGTGTCAGACATGGCCAGACGTATGAATCCCTAGGGCTGACCTAGATAGTAGGTTACTAGGGTATTCCACTATTCAGGTAACTGGCGCCCTAGGGAGTGGATCATCTATCTCGCAAACAGTACGCTTGAGGCTGAGCCGGTGTCGACGAGGTCGCGAGCGGAACGAACCAACAAGCTGTCAGACATGAGGTCCTTATAGAGCCTTTGGGAAACTTTTTGTTTTATGTTGTTATTGCAATGGGCCCTTTCTCCTGCACTCTCGACCCTGCCTTGTGACAGGCTTGCACAACAGACATTAACAACAAATAACAGGGGACAGTGAAGGCATTCGGGTTTTAGGGGGTAGTGTTGGTTCTTCAGGGTTTGCGGCTATGCGAACTGCAAGATTTTGATGGCAGCGGCAACACTATACTATACAACGCAGATAACGACGTTCATGATGTAAATCAATCCGGAATAGGCGCTGGCGCGGGAACTCAGAAGTGCCACACAGGCAGCCAGCGACCTCTCCGGCCTCTTTCACCTTCCTTGACCATCCATGACATGTCCACGGTTCTCAGATCGTTCTTGGGCAGAATGGCGGGGCCAAGGACGCTATGGAAGAAGAGTCACTCGATCCGGAACCTTTTTCGTACAGTTCCCTGGCCTTCTGAGAGTCCTGCGGTACGCCGAGGCCGTACTGGTACATGCATGCCAGGCTGAGTGCAGCTCCAAAACTGCCCCTGCCCAAGCCCATCTCATACAGCTCCATGGCCTTGCGGTAGTCCTGCATTTAGGGCCGTTAGGACCTTTAGGAGTTAAACCGGTTCGTGGTTGGGCATACAAGTTCAAAGCTTTGCCTTTTGAACGTCCTGCTGCACCCCGAGGCCATCGCGGTACAAGTGTCCAAGGCTCTCGGGGCATAAGATGTCGCCTCTTGCCATACCTTCCTCGTAAAGTTCTTTGGCCTTGCGAAGGTCTCGGGCTAAACCTCGCCCATGCTGGTACATGTTACCGAGCTCATAGGGGGCTCTAGAGGAACCCTTCTCGATGGCGGTCTCATACAAGTCCTTAGCCTTTTGGAAGTTTTGCTGCACTCCGATCCCGTCCCGGTACAAGGTTGCAAGGCAGTAAAGGGACAAGACGTCGCCTCTTGCAACGCCCAGCTCGTAGAGTTCTTTGGCCTTGTGCAAGTCTTGGGCTAAACCCATCCCAAACTGGTACATGTTGCCTAGCTCGTACGCGGCTGTCGGGGAACCCCTCTCTTTGGCCGTCTCGTAAAGTTCTTTGGCCTTTTGGAAGTCCTGGTGCACCCCGAGGCCTTTGCGGTACATGTGTCCAAGGCTTTCGGTGGACAAGATGTCGCCTCTTCCTGCGCCCAGCTCATACAGCTCCTTGGCCTTATGCAGGTCTTGCGTGACACCGTGTCCACGCAGGTACATGTTGCCAAGGCAACCGGCAGCTCCGGCGTCACCCCTTTCAACTGCCGTCTCGAACAAGTCCTTGGCCTTTTGAAGGTCCTGGTGCACCCCGATACCATCAACATACATTGTTGCAAGGCTGCTCAGGGAAAATACATCGCCTTTTTGGATGCCCAGCTCGTAGAGTTCTCTTGCCTTATCCAGGCTTTGGGATACACCTTGCCCTTTCTGGTACATGTGGCCAAGCAGATTTGCTGATTGAAATTCACCCCTTTCCATAGCCATCTCATACAAGTTTCTGGCCTTTTGGAAGTCCTGGGCCAGGCCCTTGCCATCGAGATACATCCCTGCAAGCCTGGCAGGGGCGAGGTCATCGCCCCTTCCGATGCCCTTCTGATACAGATCGATGGCCTTTCGGAAGTCTCGGTCGACGCCTGGGAGTGTTAAACATTACGGACTTGCTATACCCTAAGCTTCCTGGGATCTTATGATAATTGGGTCCTTAAGAGGTCTAGGCCCGTAATTATAAGGTCCTCGGAAGCATAGGGGTAGTTAAGGGGCCGTAGTTTAGGAAAAACACACCCGAAATTTGGCTGTGCCCCTGTCCCACCTCGCCCCTGCTGGTACATAATGCCAAGACTGGTTGGGGCCCTAGTGCTGCCTCTCGCCATGCTCCGCTCAAAGAGCCACCGCGCCCAGTGCAAGTCCTGAGCTACCCCGAGGCCCTCAAAGTACATGACTCCAAGGTTGTTGAAGAACTCAGGACCATCGGGATCGAGGAGAACCAGTGTCTGGCTGACAGCTTGCGCAAGGTTCTCCTTGGCGCAGTGACCAAAGCGCCATGTGGTGGTTTCCCGAAACTTCGATGCGAGCATCGGGGACAGCAGGCGTGCCCTTTCGTGCATGATGGAAGTCGCCCCAATCATGTCATCATCTGTCATGTCGGGATGTGTGTAAAGAATGCGCATCTGCAACCCGTCGCGGAAGGCTTGAACGGCCGCTTTCAGCTCGCCTCTGTAAAAGACAGTGTCGAAAAGAATTTTGTAAGACAGCCCTTGCTGTTTGTGATAGTTGATCGCCACGATGACATCTTGGGACCTCACAGCCCAGGTGCTGGCGAACTGCCGGGATGCGCCCACCCAAAAGGCTTTGACCTGTATGGCCGGTTCAGAAGCACACTGGTGCAGAAAAGGTGTTGCTGGATCTGTTGAGGGTCGTTCCTCTGGACATTTCGGCTTTGCTAAACCCCGAACCCTAAAGCCTGAAACTACTTATAGCTGTTACCAAGCGCTGCCCGCCTTGGGCAGGCTGCAGGACTTCAGGGTATTCACACCGGGAGCATTCAAGAGCTGCCCGAGCCGGGTGTCCGGATCCTCCTCCCCGAGCTCACAGCCATCTCTCAGAAACATAGAAATATTGATAGACTAGTTTCTGCAGCATTTTGTTGAGCTTTATGAGGCTACCCTGTTTTCTCCTACTACTCAGTTCTACTTGGAAGATCCCACGAAAAATGAACAAGAGAGCACGATGGTACCAGTTACTGCTCCCTAACTACCGTCGGAAACACGTCCTGGCTCTGCAGGACGCAGCCGCCCTGTTGTCGCAATGGTCGCAGGACGTCTTCACGCTCCCCATCTTGATAGCCACTCCACAACAAGAGGTGCGTCTTCTCCTAGACTGCGCCAAAGCAACGGAGCTACTTCGCTCAAAACGGCCCCTTCCCAAAACTCTAGCCCATGAAAAGAGACTGAGGCGAGGTGCGCTCCCGCACTGAAGCAACAACTGGCTCCAGACCTCGTAGTCCCCATCACTGACAACAGCTTCCGCCTGCAAGAATGCGTGGGGCCCAGAAAAAAGGGATACCTGGACTCCTTAAGGCCTTAAGGGCCGCGGGCCCGCAATGATGCGCATTGTACTCTAGGTTTTGCAGAAAAATCATTGGGTAGTTAACAAGGCCCTCAACCCTGAACCCCAAACCTCAACTTTCAATCCCATAAATCCCAAACCCTAACCCTAAACCCAAAACCGTAACCCTAAACCCTGACCAGATGGAGGGAGGATTTATTTTCGTAGTGTTTTCTGACGTTGTGTGTTTTTATCTTCCTGGTTTTTCCTTGGTTTTCGGAATCTAGCCTGGTGGCCGTGACCGTTCTCCACCTCTGACTGGAATTCTTGGCCGTGCATTCTTCTGATTTCTTTGTATATTTTCCTGCTTTTAGTTCTGTCTTCCTTGGTTTTCGGAATGTAGCCTGGTGGCCTTGACTGTTCTCCAACTCTGACTGGAATTCTTTGTGTATTTTTCTGGTTTTTGTATGGATTCTTCGGTTTCACAATTTCCTTAACCTCTCCGCTCGTCTCGCGGCAGCTGCTGGACTGTCAGAAGCTCCTGCCACAATGCTGCCGTGTCTCTCACTTCTTTTTTTTTGAACCGCGCGCTTGTAACATTCGCGAAGCTTCTGGATTGAAACTCTAAGACTCTGCGGTGGCGGTCTGGGTGGAGAGGCGCCTGGGGCTGTAGAGCGCCTGGGGCTGTAGAAATGGTTTGTTGAACCTGAATTAGCCCGGGGGTGGGTCTTTTTCTTTTTATTCAACTTTCTTGGTTTGTCCCAGGGAAAACATTATGTTCCTAGGGATTCTCTGTTATTTCCTTGGGTTTTGCTTGGTTTTTCACCGGAAAAACACTATTTTCCGACGGATTCCGTGTGGTTTCCTTAGGTTTTCCTTGGTTTTTCCTAGGGCAAACACTGTTTTCCTACGGCTTGCGTGTCATTTCCTTAGGTTTTTATCAGGAAAACATACGTTACCTTGGTTATTCCTCGGGAAAATCGGATTTTCCGTACATTTTCGCATTTTCTACGGATTTCGTGTTGTTGTTGGTGGTGTTGGTACAAAAGCAATTGGGCCGGCGACCGCCTGGGGTGCCTGCAGAGTTTTGGGTGCATGCCATGGTTTACAGCAAGGGGGGGGGGTCAAAACAATAGACAGGGCTCCAGTTGTTGCCTCTACTACAGAGGGTAGAGACAAAAAAAACCAGCGAAATCAGGACTTTGTCTCTGCCCCCTGTAGTAGAGGCAAAAACTGGAGCCCCGTCTGTTGTTTTGACCCCCCCCCCTTTACAACAACCGCCCAGATTACACCAAATTTCCACCACAGGTAATCATTGAATTACACACCAAATCCACTGAAATACACACCAAATACACACCAAATCCACTGAAATACACACAAAATCCACTGAAATACGCACGAAATCCACTGAAATACACACGAAATCCATTGAAATACACACCAAATCCATTGAAATACACACCATACCCCCTGAAATTCACACGAAATCCACTGAAATACACGCGAAATCCATTGAAACACACACGAAATTCATTGAAACACACACCAAATCCATTGAAATACAGACGAAATCCATTGAAGATAGACACCAAACAGTATACATCACAGGCATCCACAGGCACTGTGTTGTTGTTGTTGTTGTTGATGCTGCTGGTGTTGATGATGTTATTTTTGTTGTGGTTGTCGTTGTAGTTGTAGTTGTACTTGTAGTAGTCGTGGTAGTAGTAGTAGTAGTAGTAGTAGTAGTAGTAGTAGTAGTAGTAGTAGTAGTTGTTGTTGTTGTTGTAGTTGTATTTGTAGTATAGTAGTAGTAGTAGTAGTAGTAGTAGTAGTAGTAGTAGTAGTAGTAGTAGTTGTAGTAGTTGTAGTAGTTGTAGTAGTAGTAGTAGTAGTAGTTGTAGTAGTAGTAGTAGTAGTAGTTGTAGTAGTAGTAGTAGTAGTAGTAGTAGTAGTAGTAGTAGTTTGGTAGTAGTAGTAGTAGTAGTAGTAGTAGTAGTGGTAGTAGTAGTAGTAGTAGTAGTAGTAGCAGTAGTAGCAGTAGTAGTAGTAGTAGTAGTAGTAGCTGTTGATGTTGTTATTATTATTGTTGTCGTTGGTGTGCTTGTTGGTGTTGGTGTTGGTGTTGGTGTTGGCGTTGGTGCTGGTGATGGTGCTGGTGTTGTTGTTGCTGCTGCTAAATGTAACCCTTGTTGTTGTTCTTGTTATCGCTACTGTTGTGGTTGTTCTTGTTGGTGGTGGTGTTGGTGTTGTTGGTGTTGTTGTTGTTGTTGGTGGTGGTGGTGTTGGGGCTGGTGCTGGTGTTGCTGTTGGTGTTGTCGCTAATGTAATCCTCGTTGTTGTTGCTGCTGTTGTTTTTGGCTTTGTTTTGTTGTTGTTGATGATGGTGCTGCTGCTGCTGTCGTTTTTGTCGCTGTCGTTGTCGTTGTCGTTGTTGTGGTTGTTGTTGTTGTGGTGGTGGTGGTGGTGGCCTTGTTCTCGTTGCTGTTGTTGTTGCTGTTGCTGTTGCTGTTGCTGTTGCTGTTGCTGTTGCTGTTGCTGCTGTTGGTGTTGTTGTTGTTGTTGTTGTTGTTGTTGTTGTTGTTGTTGTTGTTGTGCGCTGTTGTTGCTCTTGCCGTCGGTGGTGTTGTTGTTGTTGCTGTTCTTGCTGTTGCTGTTGTCGTTATGGTTGCATGCCTTTTGCTGTTATTTGTTAATTACTGGTGTTGCTAGTACTCTTGGTGTTCATGCTGTTGTTGCTGCTGGGTGGAACCTTTTGTATTAAAGGTTTGTTATTTTCGAAAGGTTTGGCGGGATATGGGTTCGTTTGTGCGTCAAGCTATTGGGGGGATTCAAGTTTTCGGGGTTTGTTTGTGCGTCAAGCTGCAGGAGGAAAGTAGTTTTCGGGGTTTGCTTGTGCGTCAAGCTATTGGGGGATTCCAGTGTTCGGGGCTTGTTCGTGCGTCAAGCTCTTGGGGAATTCCGGCTCGCAGCCCCCCCCTTTTGCAAGCAATATGCTCGCATGGTTGGTTAAAAAACGCGTATGTGCTGTCGAGCAAGCATGCCACTCTCGCACGCCCGGCGCAAGCTTCCCAATTGCAAGCACACTTTTCACAAGGTGAAGGGTGTTGTTTCTAAATTTAAAAGACTCATCATAGGATAGATATGCCAGGCATCTCGGGTTTCAAAAACGAATCCTATGCTGTCATGCAACCTGGCACACGGCTTAAAGCAGCGGGGGGGGGGGGGGGGTTGGGGGGACAACCCCTTCCGATCCTCGCATGGCTGGCTTACCACAAAATCATATGTGGCCGGTGGGTTTAGGGGGGGGGCAGCCAGTCAGGATGCTCGCACGGTTGGCTTGAAACAAAAATATATGCTGTCAAGCAAGCTGCTGTCACGCAAGCTTGCACATGCAGCTCTCCCCCATTTGCAGCATGATGCTCGCATGGTTGGTTAAAACATGCGTATGCACTGTCACGACTCCTATGCTGTCATGCAACCTGGCACACTGCTTAAACAGCGGGGGGGTTGCGGGGGGCGCAGCCCCCCCCCCATTTGCAATCACGATGCTCGCATGTCTGGTTTACAGCACAATCTATGCGGCGGGGCGGTTTACGGGGGGCGGCCAATGAGGATGCTCATATATGCTGTCAAGCAAGCTTGGCACTCTCGCACCTATTTGCAAAGAGACTTTCGCATGGTGAATGGCATTGTCTCAAAAAGACTTATATATTATGCAGGGTGGGTTTCAAAGACGACGTCTATGCTGTCAAGCAAGCTTGCACACAGCTCCTCAAACCAGTGGGGTTTCCGCCTTCAATTCTTGCTTCTTTCTTGCCTTCCTTGCTCCCTTCGTTCCTTGCTTCCTTCCTTGCTTCGTTCCTCCTCCCTTGCTTCCTTGCTTCCAGCCTGCCGTCCTTCCTCCTCGCTTGTTTCCTTGCTTTCTTCCTGCCTTCCTTCCTTCGTTTCGTTTGCTGCAAGAAACAGAAAGGAATAGAGAATCGCACGGAATCCATCCAAAATGCAAGCAAAAAGGACATCTAAGGAAATGACCGAGAATCCGTAGGAAAATGAGGTTTTCCCTAGGAAAACCGAGAAAACGGACAAAAAAGTGAAAAGACCCAACAAAAAATAGGCCTTCCCGACCTAACCTGGTAGATTCGTAGATGATCACTCTGAAGCTTCTAAGTCCGCAGATGGCATGTCGGCCTCGAGCGTGCGAATAGATCCCCGAATAGATGTCAACGACGGTTCAAAGTTCTTCAGCGTCTCGATCCTTTTATCTTCTTACTTGTTTCCCTTCGTTATGCATAAATTCCTTTCTTCGTCTCTTCCTGGCATCCTCTTCATTGCTTTCCTCTGTGTCATTTCTTCATTTGCTCCGTCCTCTTTCGTTAATTCTTAGTTGCGTTCTTTCGATATTCATGTCTTTCTCTGCTTCTGTCTCTCTTTCGGCTTTCTGTGTGAGTAGTTGTTTCTGTCCTCCTCGCATTCTTTGTGTGCTTCTCTGAAAGTTTCTTTCTTCAGTTCTGCCTTTCTTTCGGTGTATCTATCTTTGTTTATTTCGCTGGTCTTTGCTTCTTGCTGCCTATCCTGCCTTCGTTCTTGCCTTCTTTCTTTGCTCCGTTATTTTTGTCTTGCCTTCTGGTCGTCCTTGCTGGCCTTCTGTCTTTCGATATTCATTTCTTCTGTTCTGTCTCTCTGTCTTTCCTGACTTCTTGTTTCCTTGCTTCTGTCTGTCATTCGGTCCTGCCTTTCTTTCTTTCTCCCCTTCCTGGTGTGTTGCTTTCTTGCTTTCTTGGTTTGTTTCCGTCTTCGTTCTTTCTTTCTGTGGTCCTTCTGTCCTTCCTTCCTGTCTTTCTGTCCTTCGTCCTTTCTTTCTCCCCTTCCTAGTGTCTTCCTTTCTTTGCTTTCTTGCTTTGTTTCTTTGCTCCTTTCTTTCTTTCCGGCTTCCGTTTCTCCTTCTTTCTTTCGTCTGCGTTCAACCTTTAACCAGAAAACTAGACTCAAAAAACAAAAAATTGACAACACAAATACGGTACCCAACCCTAAACCCACGGTTTAGGGATTTTAGTAAGCCCTCAACCCCTAAACCTACCCTAAACCCTAAATCCTTTCTGAGCATGGGCTTGGATTGTGTGCCACAGCCTAATCCCCAAATCCAAAACCCTGAACCCTAAACAATAAACCCTACACCCTCAACCGAGTGCTGAATCTCTCGGACCTCGGCTTGGCAGCCTCCAGCGGAGACCGGCGCGCCATTTCGATGGTCCTGACGTGCCGGCAAGCATTCAGGGTGTTAGGGTGTCTAAAGTTTCTAGAGAAACATCGGTACCTAAAAAAAGTGAATGTGCCAACTTACTCAGGCCATATCCATATTTCGCGAAGGTACATTGCTTACTCTAGGTAGGGCTTAGTGGGGATTCAGGCTGCCAATAGTGGCGATCAGCCTTGGGGCAGAGGGGCTGAAGGCCGCAGGGATTCTGAACTTAGAAAGCATGGGTTTGGGGCTCAGGGTGCAGGGTCAATTGAATCATAGGGATCCTTAGGGGTGTCGGGGGGAGGGGTGTAGGGGACTATATTTCCTTAAATAGGCCTTATTAGTCCTTATTATGGGCCTTAAGGCCCCCTACCCCCCCTCCCCCTACACCCCTAAGGATCCCTATGATTTAGCCTTTGGTCGACCGCGGGGCCCAGAACCGTGCAGCCCTGTGTGCTCCTCTTCGCAAGCGTCCTGGATCTCCTTCTTCAGTGCTCGAAGCTCTTCTTCACAGCCTGGGAGTAGAACCTGAAGTGCCCTCAAAGAAGCCCTGATCAAACCCACAAAAAATTCTGCTCATTTTTCTTTACATGTATCTTCTATGATGTGTGCACTCGTAACGTTGTATGTATGTATGTAACTGTATGTATGTACGTATGTACATTATGTATGTACAGGGGAGAGGGAGAGCGAGAGAGAGAGAGAGAGAGAGCCAGAGAGAGAGAGAGTCAGAGAGAGAGAGAGAGAGAGAGCGAGCGAGCGAGAGCGAGGGAGAGAGAGAGAGAGAGAGACAGACACGGGAGAGAGAGAGAGAGAGCACTCGTAGAGAAGCTTGTTGTATTACCGGCATAAAACTTGAAAAGGCACTCTTATGCTTCCTTTAACTTAAGCGCACATCAGCAGACTCTCGCCGTGTCCCGAAGGCTTCGTCAGTTCTTCATATAAGGATTACGTGATGTATTATAGAGGCTTCACAATTAGAAGAAGGTTTTGAAGCCCATGGTACTCTCGTTCTAACAAGCAGCCCCCGAAATAGTAGGTGACTATTAACACCACTATGTGATGTGTACAAGGGATTGATATGAAGCATCGCGGAGAACGTGGAAGAAAACGATGGGTAAGACTGCCGGGGAATTGCAGAGTACGAAAGAAGCAGAAGAAATAGTGACAGATCAAGATCGAGAGAGACGAAGAGAAAGAGCGAGCGAGCAAGAGAAAAAGCAAGAGAGAGAGAGAGAGAGGGAGAGAGAGAGAGAGAGAGAAAGAGAGAAGCCGGGTCAGCGAGAGAGGGAGAAGGGACATGCAATGCCGGGACACCGAAGGATTCGGAAGCTTCATCCGCTTCCGTGAATAGGCTTCGAGATTCCTTCTCGGCGATGCCTGGGTCGGCAACCCAAACACCCATAAACGCCGAAGCCATATATCCCGAGGCCTCAAAGTGTCAGAAATGCACATCAACACCATCGCACGGCGAGCATGGATGTGTGTACCCCCGTAGAGGACCCATAACCTAAACGCTGAAACCTTTAAATCGAACACACAAGGATCCCGGTAGTCCCTCAGGGCTCTTTGGAAATCCTTGGAATATCGACTCCGCGCCACCTCTTCGCCCGAGGATGGTGCGACTGCTGTTCACCAACAGCAGCGATGTGAAGACCACGAGTGCGCTCATGGTGCCAGACATATGGATAGATCATGTACTTTCGCAAACAGTACGCTTGAGGCTGAGCTGCTTTCGACAACACCGCGACAGTCAAGAAACCAGGTTCAAGATGAACTACAAACCCTAGGGGTCCATGTACCGAAATAGTATATAATTTGGGCCCAATGTACCTGTAATTATAGGGAGTACTTTAAAGCCAAAGTATGTACTGTTTGAGTCCATAGACCCATAAGGCAATATGTCCCATATGGACAGCCTTCGGGCCTAGCATTCCACATATGCCAGCCCCGACCCCCCCCCCCCCCCCCCCCCCCCCCCAATTTCAAGTTCCGGAGCTGTGCAAGAATCCCTGATCAAATCTTTCCACAACCTAGGCCCAATGGCCATACATGGCATGGTCTTCGGACCCAAAAGCCTTAACATACATGTCCTTAAAGCATTGTAGCGTAACAGTTTCGGCATTTGGGCTTAGAGGGCTTAGGAGTTTGGATGTCTGGACGACTAGGGCGGCTCAAACCGCCAAAAACAAAAGCCATCGAATGTGCTGCTGCTTCGGGAAAGGAGGTCTCCCTGAACGCCTTTATAGCCATCCGAAAAGCTCCTTCAAGTCTTAAAGTAACCTTGATAGCAACTCTCAGGCTGCTGCGGGCTCAGGGACAGTGGTGTTGAGCTTGTTAGGGTTTAGGGGCTTGGGTTTATCAGAATTATTTGACTTCGGAGGTTTCGGCTTCGATCCGAATCCCTAGATGGCCGCAGAGCTAGCATGCCGTGACCAAACTTAATGTAGGGGCTTACTACTACTACTACTACTACTACTACTACTACTACTACTACTACTACTACTACTACTACTACTACTACTACCACTGCTCCTATCTGATTTAGGGTTTAGAGTTTAGGGTATAGAGTTTAGGGTAGAGCGAGAGAATTGAGACCGACAGGGAGAAGGACAGGGTGGAGAGGGAGAGGGGGAGGACCTAAACCTAAACAACTGAAGTATTACCCAAACCTATTTACAGTAAGGCATCCATGAAGTAACCAGTATGTATTACAAACATCAATGCTTAGTATTAGAGTATCACTGAAGCTCGTGGGCTCAGCGCCTGCGCCAGAGGCGTTGTCTGGCGAAGGGCCCCTGCTGCAGCCGCATACATCACCTCTTGCGGCACTACTGGAAAGAGGGGCAGAAGTGCACCCTGAACCATATACCGGGCATCCTGACACCCAGAACTCTAAGTTTAAACCCGACAACTCAAAACCTCTGCGTGAGCAGCCCTAAACCCCAAGACGTGCATTGCAGCCCGCAGCAGGCAGGGCAAGCGGTTCTGACTGGCACGCTCTCCATTTTTCATACGGCTGCACCTTGAGCAAGTCTAAACTTCAGGTTTGGGGTTTAGTTTAGGGCTGTTCTAATAAACCCCGAAAACATCAACCCGATCGGCCCTCGACCATCCTGCACCGCTCTGTATGTGCTGTACTTGATAAGGGTATGCCTCCAAGCACTTGAGAGCCAATCAACGCCTGAACCTGTGATTGTGCCTGTGCGCCCATACATCGCCCTCCGGACTCCGACACACCCTGAACCCTAAAACCAAAACTCCCTACACGAACGCCTAAAACCCGAACCAAGAACGCCTGCAGAAAGCGCACGAAGTCTTCGGAGGCTGTCAGAGCAGACCTTTGCAGTGAGAGGCATGCGTTGCTGCCTCAAAGCTGGCGTTGTTGTTACGTTAACTATAGCCTGCAGGGTTGGGGGTTTCGGGTGTAATGAAGACGGAATATGTTTTTGATATTCGACAGATGCTGCTAGCATCCTGAGCATGAGTATGCTCAGTACAGTAACAACAAAACGAATGACAATACACATATAGTCATAATACAAAAAACCTCGTTGCTGTTATTAGTAGTGTCAGTACGAATGATGATGACTGGTACCGTTGTTAGTCCTGTTTAATGTCCACAAGCAACAACAGAACCAACAGCAATACTACTACTACTGCCCCCATGAGCACGATTCCTACATATATATATATACTTATGTCGTAATGTAGAGATATTGTGCATCTAGTTGCACATGATTCCTTCGTATATATATATAACATAATGTAGATATCAATATGAATAAATAAATAAGTATATATATATATGTATATATATATATATATATATATATATATATATGTTTAACATGATGTAGATATCAATATATCAGTATATATATATATATATATATATATGTATATATATATATATATATATATATATATATATATATTTAACATAATGTAGATATCACTATACATATATATATATATATATATATATATGTATGTATATGTATGTATATATATATATATATTTATTTATTTATTTATTCATTTATTTAACATAATGTAGATGAGAGCATCGAACCAGAGCAAAAGGCTGACATGAGAGCATGGTCGACACAAGATGAGAGGGGGGGGGGCGCTTATGCAGGGGGGATAAGGGTACTACTACTACTACTACTACTACTACTACTACTACTACTACTACTACTACTACTACTACTACCAATACTACCAATACTACCAATACTACTACTGCTACTACTACTACTACCACTACTACTACTACTACTACTACTACTACTACTACTACGACTACGACTACGACTACGACTACTACTACTACTACTACTGCTACTACTACTACTACTACTACTACTACTACTACTACTACTACTACTACTACTACTACTACTGATCACACATCATAGTCTATAGCAAATCAATAATGGAATTCAATTTACTTTGCATGCCGGTGTCTTTGACGCAGATGTGCAGCCAAATCTTGCCAAAAGCCATCAAGCCCGAAGGGCGCCCCAAAAGGCCTGAAAACAAAGGTGGAGATGAACACCGGGTCTTCATAAGACCCTGGGCAAATCTGTGGTTGAGAATTGGAGTGGGTTTAGGGTTTGAGGCTTTGGGCCAAAGATGATCGAGTTGAAGAAGGCAGAGCATCGAGCTTGTTTGGGAGAGTGCTTCCTGATGTGACGTCCTCGCAAGCCGTCGTGAGGAGACGTTGCTGCAGTCGCACATAGCCTTGTCATATGTTATGCATATGTGCAAAAGCAACGCCCCAAGTTCTTCTACACATAGTTTGCAAATATTATTATACATACCGCGAATGTATGTGTGTACACATGTACGTATGTATTCATGTCTGTGAAGGCAGGTAGGTACATACATGTATATATACACACAGACTGTATGCTCCATGAATGCGTGCACAGACTGCATGCTCCATGAATGAGTGTATACATCTTCATACCCACTTTTGCTGGCAAATGTAGTGCCAGGGTCGGAAACATCCTCTAACGTTTGATGGCCTGGAGCCATTTCAACATGTGAAACTATCTGTCTAGATGAACAAATGCTCTCATAAACGCAATAGAATACAAGTAATTACACATGCACTATTACTATAACTATCTACCTATCTACATATATATATATATACACACATGCACACACATACAAACAATAAGCCCCCAGTACATCCCGACACCTGTTCTAATCCGCCTGGAATTCCAAACTCTAAACCCCGGTACGGTGTCGTCTGGCATGGTTCAAACCTAAAACCCTAATCCCTAAATCCTAACACCCTTAACCCAGAATGATCATCCCTCGCACGCCTGAAAAGGTCGGGTGATAGGTTGGTAGGACTGAAGATTCCTTACTTCAGGACTCATTTTTCGGGATTTTGCCAGCTACATCCATCCCAATTTTGGAGCCCTTGGAATCCCTCCCCAAACCCTGCACCCTAGACTCATGGGCTCCGGGCATGAAAGCGCGGAAGTCGGCGACCCTCAGATCGCGAAAGCCTCGCCGGAAGAGTGGGGAATATCACTGAGAGGGCTCCTAATGACGATTTAGGCGAGGGTTTAGGCGTCCTAATGTTTCAACAGCTTCACCCGATATAGTTAAACTCACTGTTTTCGAGGGCCAGGGTCAGGTTTGAGGGTTGGTGTCGACAGTAGCACTGGCAGAACCCCGGGCACTGCCGACCTGGCTGTGCTGCGTCATCTGGGAAGATGTCGGGCAGAAGGGAATCCTGATGCAGATCCAGCAAGAGAAGGCTCAAGACCTGCATCAACCTTATGGGGAACCCTCATAGGAACCGTTTAAAGAACACGTCATGCGGAATCTCCGCTTCCGACCCCTTCTGGGGGAGTCGCGTGGTTGAGGCCTAGGGCCTAAGGGCTCAAATATTCCTCTTCGAACCCTGATCAAAGCCATAGCTCATACACTTGCGGACCCCGAGCCTGGGTGCCCCTCCTCAATCACTGTCTGGGTCTCAGTATAGGGAATGGGGGAATGGAGTATGCAGACTATTGTTGGGGATTATAGAGGGACTACTATAAGGATGCATTCCCCCATTCCCTACTAATCACCAGAGAGTAAATCAAGGACTGTATCGTAAGTCATCTCCACGCATACCAAGGGTCACTCTATCAGTCCAACTACGTGCATGGGGCCATGCTTACAGACATCGAAATAGAAATTCCTAATCGAAAACCCTAGCGAGATTATCCAAATATTTCGGACCGTTTGGGCAAGGTGTGCCACCTAGTTTACATGCACCTGACATCACAGTGTCTTTATGCCAAGAACCAAGAACCCTAAATCCGAAACTTGAAACCCTAGACTCTTTCTTGACTCTCTCTCTCTCTCTCTCTCTCTCTCTCTCTCTCTCTCCCAGGCATTCGAAACGTCAAGCCCGCTCTTTCTTGACTCTAAACCTGAAAACCCCAAACCTCAAACTAGGTTTCGGAGTCCAAGACTATGGCCTGATCGAGGCCAGCAGAAGCCGCGCGTAGTCGACTGCAGGCCGTAAGAAACGAGTCCTTGTCACCTGAAGGAGCAGCTTTGTGTGGGCTCTCGCATCAGTCTCGCCTGGGTGTCTAGAGTTTGGGGATTAGGGTTTTTCCCTAGGACCCCGACCCCAAACTATATCACCCGAGCCTGATGGTATCTTCTCGTCGAGTGGCTATCCTGAAACCAAAGAATCGCTTCCAGCTGCTGATCGAAAAGCTCCTCCAAGGGCTCGGCGGGTTTAAGGTTTAGGGTTGGGGCTTTCATCCTTGAACTCTTTAGAATCTTTCTTTGCTCTTGTAGGCTACTGAAATACAGGCTTCTAAGGTTAGGGCAATCCTTTAATTCTAGAATCTTTCTGATATTCCTTTGTTCCTGTAGGAAATTGAAATAAAGGCCTTCAGAGTTAGGGTTGAGAGCTACAGCTCAGGTTTCGCGGTCAAGGTTGAGGCGCAAGAAGTGGTTTTACGAAACAGCTTCTAGGGCGAGCCTTTCAGGTGTTGAGTCTTCGCGGCAACAATAAGGGCCTTATGGGGTTTGGGTCTTTGTGTTTATAAGTTTAATAGGGTTTACAGCTTCGGGTTCAATTCCTAAAAGGGTTTAGGGTTTTTAGGGCTTTCTTGGGTTTAGTCGGGGGCCTGTATAGGGTTTAGGGTTTAGCGCCGCTTCAAACTTTAAAGGGTTGAGGGTTAAACCGGAAACTGAAGTACGGCTTAGGCTTCAAGGTGCAGGATGCACGCTAGCAGCTAGCAAAACTCACTGGACGGACCGTTGCCACCGGTGCTCCTTGTACTCATCGTGAAGCTGCTTCCAAAGCAATGGAAACGAGCCTGAGCTGTTGATTGCAGCATTCCTATAGTCTCCATTGTAGTTCCTTTTTTGGCTAACCAGTTTTATGGTTGGGATCCTATAATAGAGATTTTGGTTAACCAAAAGAAGGAACTACAATGGAGATTTCAGCATTCTGGTTGATCTGGTATGCATCCTCGGAGTCTGTGGGGTCCAATGTGGTCTCCCGGCTCAAAAGTTGGGGCTTCGGAGTTTAGGTGGAAAACGTGTCTCGAGAAAGAATGCTTTCATCGGAGGGGCTGGAGGGCTGGGGAAGGCTGGAAGGCTGGAAGGCTGGAAGGCTGGAGGGCTAAGGCTGGAAGGCTGGAGGGCTGGGTCTGGAAAACTGGAAGGTGGAGGGCTGGAGGGCTGGAGGGAGGGCTGGGCTGGAGGAAGGCTTGAAAACTGGCTGGAAGGCTGGAAGGTTGGAAGGCTGGAGGGCTGGAGGGCAAAGCTGGAGGGCTGGGAAGCTGGAGGGCTAGGGGCTTGAGGAAGGCTGGAGGGCTGGCTCGGTTTGGCTTGAACCTTAAGCTGAAAGGTTTGGCTTCTACCTGAACCCTAAACCCTTCAACTTTAAACCCCAAAATCCTAAACCCCAAACCCACCAATGATCTGCCAATTTCCGGATATTTTATTTCGAGGCGGGCCCGGGCGATGTTTCACGGAGGTAGTGTAATATACCTGCTTAACCTATTTAAAAATAACCGTGTATTTAAAAACAACACAAAGCAGCCGTAAGAAGTAGTAAAACCCTTCCCTGGGGTGTTTTTACTGCAACTACTGCATAAATATCCAGCCAAAACCATATTCATGCTATGAAGTCCGTTGTAGTGAGTACACTACCATAATCTTAAAACCATATTCATGCTATGAACTCCGTAGTGAAAGAACAGCCCTACCCAAAAACCCCTATATAACAGTAATCGCCAGATCGGATCCCAGACTCCAACCGAAGGAGCCAGGTTTCCCAACTACTCCCAAACCCTGATGAAACCCCCTCTTGCACTTTTTCTAGGATCCCTAAAATGATCCCTAACCCCTCATGAAGACACTTTTACTAGGATCCCTAATGTGAGACCAACCCCCTCATGAAGGCACTTTTTCTAGGATCCCTAAACTGATTCGGGAAGGGAGAGGTGGGGAGGGCTGGACCCTTACGGCCGAAGCCCTGAGCCCTCCAAGATATCTCGAGACCTTCATGAAGTGCTCGCAGAAGCATTCTCGGAGTGCAGGGTTCATGTGAGCTCAAGGTGCCAGGAACGTACAGTTGCGATGCGCAGTGTTGGAGCATGGGGCCCCGGATGACCCTTTGTCTCAGGGTTTCTGGCTTGCAGCTGTCAGCAAATTTGTGGAAGACAGCAAGGTTAAAGTTTGCTCGGCTCCTGAGGCTCAGTTCATTCAGAGAACAACGTCCATCACTTGCCGAGGTCTGAAGCTTGGTGCCACTCATACGGGTACTCCCCGTCAGATGATTGACAGACTCTGAAACTGTACGCCTAAACTTTCGCTAACAGCGTCCGTCTACCTCCTACGCCCAAACAGAGTTCTTGTTCCAGAATTGAGAGACACGTCGTCTCTGAAAGTGCGACCAGAAGCCTTTCCGCTGAAATCTCGTGATCCGAAACACTACTCGAAACCCGTACACCCAAAAGCTTGAATGCCTACTTGACCCCAAAACTTAAAGTACAAAGTCCTGATCTCTGCTTAGAAAGGCGGTCGAATCGAAGAGTAGACTTCTGCCCAGCTCCACCAGCAAGTAAGTCATACTATTGCCAGGACTAAGTGTAAGACTTTGACTATTCCGAAAACTGCGTACTTGTTTCGAAACTTACCCCCAGGGCTGCAGTAACCTAACTAGTAGGTTGCTGGGGTATAAGATATATGGTTAGTAACCTGATATTTGGGTAGCTGGAGCCGTAGGGTACAGTATACGAGCTCTAGTATGAGAGCGTACCTTAACCCCAAGTTTCCTACCTTTTTAAGGACGTTTATACAGAAATCACATTAGCGACCCCTAAAAAGGCAGGTTCCTTACTTAGGGTCCAGAAATTTCGAAACTGACAGTATACGAACTCTATCATGCCCTAAACCCTAAACCCTGAAGCCTTTTTTTACATCTGGACTTGATGAATGCCAGCACCCCACTAACCCTGAAGCCTAAACCTAAACCCTGAACCCTAAACCCTGAAGCCTAAACCCTAAACCCTGAACCCTAAACCCTGAGAGTGTAAGGGATGACAGAGGGCCCGGCCATCTGGGCAAACGACCGCAAAGTGAGAGGCATGGCGCTTCACAAATTCATCCACCTCCTCTTGGAAAACGCCTGGCATCTCGCAACCCTAAGCACAGAAGGGCTGTGGATGATTTCTACGGATTTAGGGTTGAGGAAGAAGGGCTTCAGGGCTTTTCTGCTTTCGGAATTCCGGCTTTAAGGTTTCGGATGTATAGACTTAAGGCTGGGGGTTCAGTCTCGAACACGCCATATCTGTGGGCAGGCCGCTGCTTTGGGTTTGGTGGCGGCAGCTGTTCGGTAGAAGGAGGAAAGTTTCGGGTGTCCCAGCTCCCTGCAATCTCATCATTCCGCAATCTGGGACCCTGTACTATGAAAGGTTACTTTTTCTGGTGGAACGCCTTTAAAGGCGGGATCCTCCCAGGGGTATACATTCAAACATTCACCATTACCCCAAGGGGACATGCTACATAAAATGCTTACCTTAAAACACAAAAGCCTTCTTCGAGCATATCGAGGTGTGAACGGTTAAAGAAACTACCCTTTTCGGTTCGCTTCTGCACCCTATGAATCTATCGACCGCGTCATACTCGGAAGTGAGCCCACGCCTGAGCCTTATCTCCATAAGTCCGTACCTGAAATCTCAAACTCTATCTCAGCTCACCGCTACATCCGCCAATGGCCTATGCCCGAAAGGGCCCCGAGTCCCAATCCAGGATTGCCCCAAAGCACGAACACCTCAGGTTCACAAACGCTACACCATTCAAAGAGAAGCACACCCAGCCGAGACCGTAAGCCCCAATCAGTGGCCTTCCTGGAAACCTCGAAGGAAGCCTTAGTATGCACTTAGCTTCACAGGCGATCTCTGTTAATCTAGGGACATGCGATAAACTTATGTGAACCACAAACGGAAATCATCTCCAAAATATTCGGGCTTCTAAATTTGGTGTCCGAGTACGTTTTCTGCTCCAGGCTTTTTTTGGGGGGTGCAGGCTCCAGAGCCGAGGGTCCAAGTACCTTTTCAGTTTAGGGCTTGTTGTTGGGCTTAGGGTTTTCCGTTTGGGGGGGGGGGGGGTTATAGGGAGTTTATAGTGCCGTTTGAAGGGTTTATACAGCTTGAAGGATCAGGAGACTTTCCAAGTAGCTTTTACTGAGGGTTGGGTTTTCAATGGCAAGGTGTGAGCCAAGCAAAGGACTTAAAAAACAATGATGGCATTCAGCTACTCTTTGAGACTTGAATTTGTAGATGACATGGAGCGTGGGGTTGCGGTTAAAGGGCCTGTTGAAAAGATGAAACAGTTCCACCCTTTTTTGCGATACAATGAAATTCGCCTTGCCTCCCAAATTGGGCCTGTCGATCATTTTGTGAAGCTCCAAAGTTTGTAGGCGTTAGATTTTGGGATGTGAAAAGTCTCGATACACCTGGGGTAGGGTTCAAAACTTCTAGTTTCGGACACTTGCGGCTGCATGAACGTTTTCGGCAACTTAAGCGCTTACCCAAGTTTACGGGTTGCTGGGCTTTGGCGCTTGTGCACCCGGAGCACATCTCCGGAAGGCTGGGGTGTAGCAAAAATGATGAGGTAAAGAGATCCAAGCCCGCATCGTAAACCTTGACAATTCAAAATCCTTAACCCGCATACGACTTAATTTCCAAATTGGAAGCCTCCCGTCAACCACAAGTATGAGCCCAAATCCTGCGCCCCAACCAACCTCCTCAACTAGAACCTACCTCGCCCATCTTGCCTCCTTTGAGACAATCGGATTGCGCTCTGTGGCCCACCCCCCCCCCTGCCGCCCAAAGAATAAGTGCTTCCTCGGAGCGATGAAGCTTTGTGCCGGCGAGGGCACTGAGACCAAGCTCTTGAGGAACCAAGTCTGGGAGTTTCATGAGTTTCTCGTCATCGGGACGCAGTCAGCCAAGCAAGGTCCATTCAAGATCCGAGGTATGTAAAGCCCAAACCCTGAACAGTGTGTGAGGTTTAGAAGTTGGGGCTTACAAGGGGCTGAGTCGGAGTCCTCGGCTGCACCATGCTTAGATGGACTGTGCATGTCCACGTCAAAGCAAGTCTTCCCCTTGGCCCCTTGAGTGCGAATAGATATCCGCGTCCGAATTCCATGAGAGCCGATAGTGAGAAAGCGGCATAGACTCCCTGACATACTGTAAAGTCCAAGAAGGCAAGAAAAAGACAAACCCTCTTTTGAGCGAGGTCTTCTTGAAGTTACCCCCTAAACCTAAAACCCTTAACCCTAATGCTTCGCGGCTTTACCGTTATGCGCTTCATCCGGAATCGAGGAAACCCGGCTTCCCCGAATGGGCCTGGGTTCGTGTGAGAGAGCTCCATGGCAAGGTCGCTCAGAGGTCCTCACGTGTACGGTGTAATGTAGGAACCTTTACGAAAGGCCTTTATTAGGGTTCCTTTACAGGGGTCTATAAGGGTTACTATAAGGGATCCATAAGGGTACTATAGTAATGTAGGAACCTGTAAGAAACCTTGGGCCTTTATTCGGGTTCCTTCATATGGATCCTACATATTTGGGGGTTTTAGGCCCAGGGTTTCTTAATCAGGTTGCTACACTAAGTCTCTTCGGAGCACCTCTGAATCTGAATTCCTGTGCCTTACACCACCAAACTCCATGCACCTTCATTGAGGATGCTTCCCTAAACCATAGTAGGAAGCCAAGTCGAAATTCAGGGCCAGCCGCTCTCTGGGTATGCACCCAGAGTCAACCTACACCCCTGAATCATGGCAAAGCATTCGGAGCGCACGGACATACCCTAAGGGCCAATGTGCCCATCAGTTCTGTGTATTGTAGGTGAAGTTACTACATGGACATATATAGGAACCACATGGTGCATGGATGCTTCGGGCTACCATCACTTCAGGTTTGTAGTCATGGGGGCTACGAAGGCTCCAGGGTCTAAGGTTTATAAGGTTTAACCCTAAACCCCTTAAACCCCTTAAACCCCTGAACCCTAAACCCCCTAAACCCTAAGCCCCTAAAAATCCCTAAAACCCCTAAACCCCTAAAAATCCCTAGAACCCTATCATAAGGTTTACTAAAACAGTGAGCAGGGCCTTGACTTCCGAGTCTGAGCCGGCCCAGTGCCGGAGCAGAAGGGGAGCCATGGCTCGGGTAAGAGCAGAGTTTAATTTGATCGGATGAAGGTTTTAAGGGTTTGGGGTTTAGGGGTTTAAGGGTTTAAGGCTTAGCGGTTTAGGGTTTAGGGGTTTAGGGTTTCGGGTTAGGGGTTAAGGGATTAGGGGTTTAGGATTTAGGGGTTGAGGGGCTCAGGGTTTAGGAGGCGTTTGGGGTCGAAAGCCAATGCCCTGCACTCGCAGCTGTGCTTTTTAGGAGTTGATGCCTCGGCGATCTGAAACTCATGAACCCTCAACCTGCTGCAGGATGCCTTGCGACCTCGGCTTGTGCATTCAGGTGCCTGCAAGCTAGAAAGCCTAAACATCTGACTGCAGGTCGCCGAGCAAATCTCGAAGAAGCAAGATGGCATTAAGCTGTTCTGAGTAGTGCAAGGCTCACTGTTCCCAATCACGTCTGCTCTCTTGTTTCCTGGCATACGGCTCAGCGAGGAGCAGACGGCTGCAAGGAGCATCGAGGCATGTCAGATCAGCCATCAACACAAGCATCTCTGACCAACCGCTGACAGAACTTCCCTTCGGATCTGGTTACCCGGCTCTGCACTAAACATCGTCAAACACAGCGGAAGTCCTCAATTCAATTCCTAAACCGATGATGATGCAATTAGACCCTTTGGGGTAGACCTCCTTGCTGCGGCAAACAAGCAAACTCAGCTGGCAGCGGTCATTGACAGCCCTGGGTAGCCCCTGAGAAATTTCCTTGCCGGGCAGGGCGTGCGTCGTATAGGGGAGAAATGCTTTCCGCAGTATGGTAGGTTAAATCAACGGCTAAGTCTCCTTAGCACAATCCCGTATACAATTGAGGGTGCCTGTAAGACGGACAAGAAAAGCTAACCAATCCAGGGAACCTACGTGAACGTCACCCAAGGTGCGCTGTTGGACACCCTCCTGAGCTCCTCCTCTTCAAGCCCAGCTACCTATATGGTGCGTCACTTTGTTCTAAACCTACAAAAGCCTGATGCGATACTCTACGGCAAGTACGTAAAATGTTTCTAGTTGCATCTAGCTAATGGCCTTCTTCCCACGAAGCTACGATTTTGTCGTGTGTACCACAACAGGCGTTGGAATCGATTTGGACTGAACACGAAACCGCAAGAGCGAGTTAGCTCTTTCATATGCACAGACCAAGTAAGAAGCGAACATGCGAACACACTAATCACTGAGCAAAGAGCCGACCTTGAGCAATCAAGGTACCCAAGAAAGGGGATGCTGCCTAGCTGTGATTGAAGATACTTCGGATGCTGCCTAGCTGTGATTGAAGATACTTCTGTTTGAAGGCAAGTTGGTTCCTCCAGGCCAAGCACTCAAATACGCAGATATCGCCCAACCATGAGCCACGAAACCCTCAACTGAGAAACCTCACCCCTACTCTTAAAACCGAAATCCCACACCTCAAGCCCAGAAACAACAGAACCAAACAAAAACAATGAATTGCATGCCGCGCTGCAGCCATCGCTCGTTGCCACCCAACTGCATCCGCGATCGCTGCTCCGTAGTCCATCTGGCCAGCGTCGGACTGCCCCCACAAAGCCCATTCTGAGTAATATCGGGGCCTTAATAATTGTAGAGTTTTGGGGCTCATTATTAATTATCCTACAATTACCCGTACTTTTTCGATGCTGCGCTACCCGCTTACTTTCTGGACGAGAACGCTTACTTTAGTTTCGGCTTACTTTTTCTGGGGCTAATTTCGGATCGGCTTTATCGCTTGTTCGGGGTTTCTTTTGCCAGTTGAACTGTTGTTGAAGTGATGCGAAATCGAACACCCAAACAGGACTCTATCCCTTGAATAAATATAAACTTTACATGGATTGCAAGAAATGGTGTTCAGTGGTTGCTTTCGGATGGTTGAAGAGACCTCGTTCAGTCTGTTCAAGACTAAATCAGAATGCTTGCGCGTTTACCTTTTTCCGTACCGAAATACATGTAAACCTTTTCCCACGAATGGAAAAAGTAGCAGGACAAACCTACTGGTATAATCAGGCGCCACCAAAGTGGGTAATAATTTATTTAGGCCCCTATAGTAAGCCTCTCTCTTCAACCCTCCAACTGAACTCTCTAAACAGCACGGGAGATCGGAAGAACTTTCAATAAATAAATTGTTGTATAAGCTGTATATAGTTCTGGAATACTCCAAATTCTTCTCTTGACTCATTTCCCTATACTACTTGGGTGGTTGTCAAAATGAGGGTCCCTTTGAGTCCTCATTAACTATTTTAGTACGGCACCTTATATTTAGGGTACCCAAAAAGGGACCCTAATTTTGACAACAACCCACATGCTACTTGAAGGGCCCCTGAGACCGAACTCTTGTGCTGTCCGACCTGTCCATGGTGAGGCTCCGCACGAAGCTTAGGTGCACACCCAAGCCGCGGTGCCTGAATTAGGGTTTAGGGTTTTGGGGTTTAGGGTTTTAGGATTTAGGGTTTTTAGGGTTTTTAGGGTTTAGGGTCTCTGGGTTTAGGGTTGAGGGAACGGTGTAGGGCAAGGTTTGGGTCTCAGGAGTCTAACGATTTCCTCCCACCTAACTAGGACCGAGCGCGCCTAGAAGGGTTAGAATCTAATGAGTTTCTCTCTCGTACAGAGCAAGGATGAGCGCGATAAGCCCTAAAGATTAGGGTTGAGGGTTACAGGGTTCAGGGTAGCTTTATTCTTGTGGACATAAGTATCTGCGTATAACCTAACTGGCAAAGCCTTCGCAAATGCCCCTGGTACAATGTTTTGCCAGCACGAACTACACACGGTCAGGGCACGACGTCGATGTATGTACCGTGCATGTTACGATAGCTGACTAGGCTGCAACTACCCCTGGAAGCCCAAACACCTTCATGGCCTCGTACTGTCCTTTACCATGACCCCATATCTAGTAGATATACAAATGGGCTTCTAGGACACTGTAGACCCGGAGAATGGCCCTCCTCCGTGAACCAAGATCTTCATGGGGATCTCAGCATTAGGGCCCACAAAGGAAGACCCGCATCATTAATCAGGAGTCTATATTGCGACGCAATTGAAGTTCATGCCACCTTAGGAGAAGCGTGCCTCTCCAAAACACTTGAACAACGTGAAGAACAAACTCAAGTATCTCAAAACCAAAATAGTGGCCTGCCGATTCACAAATCTCGGCCCGGAAGCACCGCAGAGAGAAATCCATGAGTCCGGCCTGCCAGCACAGTCTGTGCAAAGGTGGCAGCCGTAGGAGATAGTAGCCCACCTGGTACAGGAGCCGTATCTCACTTGAATAGGGTTTCTTGGGGTTCCCTGTCAGAAAGCTAAAGTAACTACCCAGAAGCCCCAAAGTAGTTCCTTCTAGGGATTGCTTTATAGGATTCTAATATGAACCCCAAAAAGGAACTACTTTGGGGCCTTTGGGTATAGTATTGTATACCCCCAACACCCTATTCGAATTCTTAAGGCTGCGGTGGCGCAAGAACTTCGCGGCGCCTTGGGAACTTTCAAGGTTTCGATCATGCAGGTTCTACAGGGAACTCCAGAAAGTTGGAATATGGATTCAGGGTAGGATACCCTGTAATTTACCATAAAGGGTTTAGGATAATCATATTCCAACTTTCTGGCTTTTGTTCTAGAGGACCAGAATTTCTAAGGCTGGGTTGGGCTGGAAATTCGTCGGTTTCGAAAATAAATAGTTGAATGCCTGGGGCGGCAACTCTTGCTTAGCATTTTGTGGGGGATGTAGTCGCTGGTTGCTTCTGATTCTGCTGCGTTTAGGCACGACGCTGGATAGTTTTGGGGGTTGCTGCCTAGTGCAGAATCATGAACCATGCAGCCTTGGGGGCGTTCTAGGTTCACCGTGGAATGCTTGCCAAAGCGACTACAGTCAGGCATGGTTGCGTTCCGACATCAGGATGAGCGCGCGGGCATTCCGCGAAAACTAGCCGTCTATGTTTGCAACCCTTGGGATACCAGCTCACAGAGAGTTGCTTGGTTGAATTTTCATATCTATCTTCCGATCTACCTATCTGTTTATGCATAGCCATACTTTCATGCAGACAGATTCAACGAAACCCTCGGAGGCTATGGCCATGCAACGAAGATTCCTTGTCCTGCGCCGGATATTGCAAGTCTTGTTGTCACTAAGAACGTGCATGAGCTGGGCGAAGTAAAAGAGAGAGAGAGTTGGAATATGATTATCCTAAATCCTTTATGGTAAATTATAGGGTATCCTA